CCCCAGAACCCCAAAACCCCAAAACCCCAAAACCCCAAAACCCCTTAGATAAGAAATAAGTTAAAATTATATTAAGTTAAAATTACATAAGAAACCCTATGAATAGGCTCTTAGTAACCGAGAAATCGTGTTTTAATTAAGATGATCAATCATCTTAAAAAGTAGAGACTAGTGCTAGTCCGTCCTCAACAGTGAGTCTCTCTTTAGGATCTTTGATTAGTGATGACTCCAGAAATTGGTGGATTTTAAGGTCTAATTCTTTAAACACTTTGTCCTCCAGAGATAGAGGAGAGTTCACTGTTCTGTCTGATATTGACTCGTTAGTTTTTCCATCAAATGGTAACTTCCCAGCTAAAAGAAGGTAGTAGACTATTCCTGCAGACCACATGTCAACAGATTCGCCATACTTCTCTTTTAAGATAACCTCTGGAGCACAATATCCCATTGTCCCAAGTTTTTGAGTCACTTCGACAGATGAATCCATAAATTTGGCTAATCCGAAGTCTATTAAATAAACCTTCTTAAGTTTTCCTCCTTTTCCGAGATTGACCATCATGTTCTCTGTCTTAATATCTCTATGCATGATCTTTAGCTCTTTCAAGTACTTCATGACTTTCAGCAGCTGAGATACGGCCTTGTTTGCTTCTTCAGTAGGAAGTCTTCTAGATTCAATTAGATATTCAAATAGTTCTCCATCTTTAATGAGATCCATGGCAATAAAAATCTTCTCATTGGTCTCATAGATCCCGTGAACCTTAGGAATGTTAGGATGGTTGATCAACTTCAGTATAGATACTTCATTCAAGATGTACTCCTTCTCTTTCTCAGTAATGTCTTTCTTAGACACAATTTTAATTGCTACTTTTTGAGTTTCGTCACTCCTGAGGTACCCCTTTCTGACAGTGGAGAACTTTCCTACTCCAAGAGTCTCCTTCATTTTGTACTTAAGGTTGATATCTTCATTGTTAGCTCCAGTAAGCATACATTTGTACCACTGTTCGCACTCTTCTTCAGAAGATGCGAATAAAGTTTTGTACTCAGATGTCGAGTCTTGACTATATACTTTAATTCCGTTCTTTCCCTTATTAGGTGAAAGACTCATGAGTTTATTTGGAAGGTACATAACTCCTCTTGGAATGGAGTCTCCCTTCTTCAGATAATAGTACATCATATTTCCTTTGATAATGTAATATCTTCTCTTTGTCTTTCCTGATTTGGCTCCTTTCTTCTTCAGTACACCAGCAATATTGATTTCATCTTGTTGTAAGAAAAAGTCAGTACCTGTCTTAGCACCAGAGATTTCTTCAGAATGAGTAGGAAGAGACTTCTTAGTGGACTCTTGAGAATCTCCAGACCAGTAATGCCTCTTCATAGCTTTCTGGAATTCAGTGGTGAAGCATGGATGCCTTTTGAGAAATTTTGAGAAATCTACAAAGCCGAGCTTAGCATCTTTCTCAAATCCTCCATTTTTCAACATTTTCATAGCAATTCTGGTAATCTTGGTGCTTGAAATGTAAGCCAAAGACTCAAGTGTTATGGTTGGGATTTCTCCAGAAGATTCCAGAGTTGCGATTGAAGTAGTAGATCCATTGTTGGATCCAACCTCTTCATCACTGAGAATATTTAGTACCTTGTCTTCAAATCCTGGTGACTCTCTCAATAACTCGGGAATGATTTCTGATGTTTCGAATGTTCTTAAAAGAGTGATGAGATCTTCGAGACCGAAGAACCCATCATTGTCTGTATCTAAGATCTCAAAGAGAGCTTTATACATTTCCTCAGCATCTGCTTTGGTAAACTTAGCTATAAGTAAAAATTTATCAACTGTCACGCAACGTCACGAAAAATAACAAAAATCTAGGACCAAAATTTAGCCAATTAATTTTGATTAATTGGAGATTTTTATCGTAAAAAATTTCTATCAGAAATTAAGGAAAAATGAAAATCTACTCTCAAGCCTCATAATATAAAGGCAGTACATTAAGGTATTTTATCATTCACCTATACTGCAGCCACAACTTCACTAAAGGTTTCTGGAAGAATTCGAGAATATATCCGAGAAAACACATGCCATAAAGATAATTTTTAATTTCTGGTGTAAACCTTAAATCTGACCTCAGAAATTAAAGAGGATGGACACCAGTGCCAAAAATGCAGTAAAAGGCTTACCTATCAGACTGATGAACTGATCAAAGTTAAGTCCGTCCTTTGGTGTTGTGGTGGCATACTTATAAGTCCTTTGGCCGATGATCCCCTATGAAAAGTTTAAGATCTTGTATATTTCTGATACGTCACATAAAAGAGAAAGAGTCGAATTCTTGTCATTTACTTACAGGTAACTCAGTGAATTTCAAAAATGCTGACTTAGTGATCAATCCTGAGTGCAAAGAGTTGATAGATAAGTCTTTGTACATCAAGAAAAGAAGCTTGATTTCTTTTTCAGTGACTATACGGTAAAATTAAACACATTTCAAGAGAAAAATACCCAATGAAAACTCCTCAGAAGAAAGTTGACGAATGATATCTAAACTTACACAGAGAGTTCATCTCTTGCTTCCTAGTAATTGGCATTGCTTTGGTGACTTTCTTCAAAGTGATAGTTTGGTTAGCTCCCATTAGATTTCTTAAGTATGTGAAAAGTATATTTAATAATTACAAATTTTAATTTTTAAATAGTATTCCGGAACTCAAGTGAACGCAACACATTTGCAATTTTTGACATAGTAAATATCAGAACAACTTCAATGTTTCGTTACGCCGAGGGGTTTTGGGGTTTTGGGGTTTTGGGGTTTTGGGG